CATGAGAGAGACGCATCATGAGAGACGCATCATGAGACGCATCATGAGAGAGACGCATCATGAGAGACGCATCATGAGAGAGACGCATCATGAGAGAGACGCACCAATGAGAGAGACGCACCAATGAGAGACGCACCACAAGAGAGACGCACCACAAGAGACACATCACGAGAGAGACGCATCATGAGAGAGACGCATGAGAGACGCATCAATGAGAGACGCATCATGAGAGAGACGCATCATGAGAGACGCATCATGTGAGAGACGCATCATGAGAGACGCATCAATGAGAGAGACGCATCATGAGAGACGCATCAATGAGAGAGACGCATCATGAGAGAGACGCATCATGAGACGCATCAATGAGAGAGACGCATCATGAGACGCATCATGAGAGAGGCGCATCATGAGAGGCGCATCAATGAGAGAGACGCATCAATGAGAGACGCATCATGAGAGACGCATCATGAGAGACGCATCATGAGAGACGCATCATGAGAGAGACGCATCATGAGAGAGACGCATCATGAGAGATGCATCATGAGACGCATCGAGAGAGACGCACCACGAACCACGAGAGAGACGCACCACGAGAGAGACGCACCACGAGAGAGACGCACCACGAGAGAGACTCACCACGAGAGAGACGCACCACGAGAGACGCACCACGAGAGAGACGCATCACGAGAGAGACGCATCAATGAGAGGCGCATCACGAGAGAGGCGCATCACGAGAGAGGCGCATCACGAGAGAGGCGCATCAATGAGAGGCGCATCACGAGAGAGGCGCATCACGAGAGAGGCGCATCATGAGAGACGCATCATGAGAGAGACGCATATGAGACGCATCAATGAGAGACGCACCACGAGAGAGACGCATCACGAGAGATGCATCACGAGAGACGCATCATGAGAGAGGCGCATCAATGAGAGACGCATCATGAGAGAGACGCATCATGAGACACATGAGAGAGACACATCATGAGAGAGACATGAGAGACACATCAATGAGAGAGACGCAGCATGAGAGAGACGCAGCATGAGAGACGCATCATGAGAGACACATCATGAGAGAGACACATCATGAGAGACACATCATGAGAGAGACACATTGACTGGTTGCCTCCCGCACATACCCTGACCAGGGTGGGGATCGCACCTGCAACCCAGGCACATGCCCTTGACTGGGAATTGAACCCGCAACCCTTTGGTGCGCAAGCCGATGCTCTAACCACTTTGTCACCAGCCAGGCTAATCTGTTCCTATTTTATTTGGCTGGAGGGGAAAGAGATATATGCAGTCCTGTCCCTAACATGTTAAATGGGGAAGAATATAAGCAGAGTGAGTTGGAATTCAGGAAGTGGATGACATTATATCTATCTATCTCTACATATAAATATTCACAGGGTGGGTTTTTTTAATTATATTTTCTACTCCCTTCACAATCCTGGTGTCCGGAAAAGGAAGCAGGGAGCGACGATGACGAGAACAGTGTCCGTCTCAACGTCCACCTCCAGTGTCTGCCTGTTGGAGCACCCACTGCCCCATACCTTTCCATCTCACCCACCCTCAAACACTCCTCAGGGATTCTCAGAAAAATGCTTCTCTCTGACATTAAGAGAAGCAGCTGCTGACTAACCTATATATAGTATCAAGTGAGGTCAGGGTCAGGGGACAACTGTGGCAAAGGGCCTGGAGGCAGCTGTCCCCGTGCAGGTCTGTGTACCTAATGACAGGTCAGGGTTCACCCAGAGACTCCCCCGAACACCATAGTGAGCACAAAGGAATCCATCCACCAAAGTTCCCAGGCTCCCCCTAGCTGCCTGCACCACTCACCGTGCAGACAGACCCTGTCTGCTCCTTTGTGTTCCCACGACACCCCCAAGTGCTCCCAGCCCCTGCACAGCATGTTGCTCCCAGCCTTGGCCTGCTGCAAGGCCCTTCCTGCTGGCCCCCCTTCTTGTTCCTTGGTCAAATCCCCCTCAGGTAAGACAAGACTGAGTTCTGAAGTCAGAGGTGTGGGTTTAAATCTTGGCTTCACACTTTCGGGCTAGAAGTCCTAGGGTAAGCCGTGCCTTCTCTGACTCTCAGCTGCCATAAGCATCCAATGCACAGCCAGTGCATATAAATAAACGTATCTTCCCTCTACCAGGCTGGCTGGGCGGCCCCGTTACTGACATAGCAATACTGAGATAAGTCCCTGCCTCTCCATTAGACCGTGCGCCCCGTGAGGGATGGGCTGGGCCTTGTCTTCCATCTGTGTCCCAGCACCTGGCCCAGCGCCTGGCCCGTGGGAGATGCCCCATCCATGCTGGCTGCACTATCACCAACCAAAGTTGCAGCAATGGTGGGTCCACCACAATTTGGGCGCCTTTCGGCCTTCATGGAACAGAGCTCGAGCGTGGATGACGTGCTGGTGTAGGAGGCTGCGCGTGTATGCAGGTGCTGAGGACAAAGCCAGAGGGTCCACGCCCCATGCCCAAGTTTGCCCTCTGTGCGCCTGCTGTAGGAAGCGCAACTCCCCTTCTTCCCTCTAACTGCCAGGGCTGGTCTAACAATTAGATCAATGTAAGACAGGTTAATGGGGGAAACATTTTCACTTAGTGTGTAGAAAAGCCCCCCCATTCAACATGAAGCTCTAGGAAGTGACCAAAGCAGGCAGTGTTTGTATCTTTTAGACAAAAAGTGAACAGACAATACATTTGTGAAGAACTGACAAGACAAAGGGGTTCAAGCTTTGGGCAGTAAACTCGTGGAGAATTACCCACGTTTGTTGTATGGCCTTCTCAGCCTGGAACTCACCACCTCTGGTGAGAAGAATGCCTCCTACCTCCTGGTGCAGGGAGGGGACCTTTCTTAAAAAACCTTTCCAATTACAGCTGACGTTTAACATTGCTGTGTACTGGTTTCAGGTGTACAGTGTAGTGATCAGACATCACACACTTTACAAAGTGGCCCCTGACAGGTCTGGCACCCACCGGGCACCACAGTTATTACCAGCCACTGATTGTCAGTGAAGCGCCTTCCACATGGGAGGTTTATCTGTGCTTTCGAGGGATCAAAGGAAGGCAGTAACTTTAATTCAAAATAATCAACATGCCAAAGTGGCATATTTGGGGGTGACATAATGCTCCCCTTCACTGCCAAAGTCAATATATATGTTTGTAAGGGAAATGAGGACAGCTCTACAAACTCATTTGTGGTGGGAGGTAGGGACCGTGACTCACTGGGACCTAGAAGCTCAAGGTGTTCACCGAATCAGACTGGAACTAACCTGGAGAAACTGGTTAGCTGAGGCATCACTTTCTCTGTTTCCAACCCTGCCAAAGCTATGTCCAGAGTACTGCTGGAGGCATGGCCCAGTCAAGAGAATGTGTGGAACCCTGGCAGGTATGGCTCCGTGGTTGGAGCGTTGGCCCGAGCACCAAAGGGTTGCGGGTTCATTTTCCAGTCAAGGGCACGTACCAGGGTTGCAGGTTCCATCCCTGGCCCGGGTTGGGGCATGTGTAGAAGGCAACCAATTGGGGTCTCTCTCACAGTGATGTTTCTACCCCCCCCCCCCAAAA